ATACATTTATACACTCTCAAACAGACTTACTGTGCAAATCACAGAACCGTGACGCCCTAGTCGTCGCCCCAGTGATGCCTATCACCGATTCAAAGCGCATGACGGTTGGCCCATCATGCTGATGATGCCCGTCACCCTGAACCAGAAGCAGAAGTCGTATTTTCTGCCATGGAGCACCTTTAAGCTATGATTTTTTGATCCCCACCGCCCAAATTCGATTATAGATACGATTTTTAAAATCAAAACACATGACAACACATGTATATACATCTATAACAATAATTTAATCATTTATTCATAGATTAAATCATACAATTTCATGTTCATCATTTCAACTCAACAACACATAAACATGGCATATTTTCATGGTAAAGGGTACACGAAATTCATCAGACAAAACATATTATAACACTAATAGAATACCAATTTCCAGATTCACATGATAACATAACAAAACATACACATTCTTATCAACCTATTGGAGGTTAAGGACTCATCTACCCTACCCCTCATACATATACAATTTATTAAGGTTATTCTCCCACTTATCTTAATTCCTAGCAAATAATTTGATTCCCTAACTTGGTTGATTTTCTTCTCCTTCAAGCTCCAACCTTCTACTCCTAGCATTTGCCTTTTTTATCTCTAAACCAAGTTTCTACATACTAACAATTCTCTCAATTCTAGCAATATTCCATAATTTTACACTTAGGACAAATCTTCTCAAAATTACACACATAACTCAAACTTACATACTTCTTTTACCCATATTTATTTAATTATCACACACTCTCACCACAGGATCACATACTTCTTTTACCCATATTTATTTAATTATCACTCACAATAATTAAATAAAATACATAAAAATTATAATTAAATTAAAAAATTACTAAAACTGGGGTGTTACACTCTACCCCATTTTGAGTATCTCAATATTCTCAACAAATCTATCGCCAAAACCATTTTTTAGTCTCTTTGTTTCACTTATGAAGGGAATCAACAAGTTAAAGAGTCTAAGGCAAACCTTTTGGTTCAACAATATGAGCTATTCAAAATTAAGGACGATGAAGACATTGAAACCATATTCTGAAGGCTTCAAGTTCTTGTATCTGGTCTTCAAGTGTTGAACAAGAGCTACACAATAGATGATCATGTCAAGTAGATTCTTAGGAGTCTTCCTACCAAGTATATATCTAAGGTGACTTCCATACAAGAAGTTAGAGACTTAAACAACACAAGTCTATAAAGTCTAATTAACAATCTCCAGAGCCATGAGATGAAACTTATTAAAGATGAATATGTTCAGAAGTCAAAGTCTATTGCTTTTAAGTCTGTTGATCATTATGCCAAATCTTCTCAAGTTTGGAAATATGAAGAACCTACTCATGGAGGAGGTTCTGAAGAAGATTCATAAGATCAATAAATGACATTCATAATAAAGAGATTACAAGGAAGAAGTAGTGAACTCAGAGGATCAAGTTCCATAACCAACAAAGGTGATCAAAAAGGGTGCTTCAATTGCAAGAAGCCTGGTCACTTCATCGCAGACTGTCCAGAGCTGCAGGAGGACCAACCAAAGAAAGGAAACTTTCAGAAGAACAAATTCAGAAACAATGTAAAGAAGAGTCTCATGGTAACATGGGATGAACTTGGCAAAGAAGGAGAAACAGAAAAAGATGAAGGAGGCCACAATTTCACAGAAGCCAGCATAGTGCATATAGGCTTAAACTTGAGGTAGCGGCAATTGACGAGTTTCCAAACATTGAATAAGCTGTTACTTAATATTATTCAACTACTAAAAATTATTTGCAGATAATAACCAATGCAGATCACACACATGCAATTGAAGTTCTCAACAGACTTAGCGTCTTGGTAAATGGCTATAAATGGCATGTCATTGAAGTAACAATTAAGACAATTAATAAATCATGTAAGTGTCTGAGCTTATTATGCAACATGCAAGGTATATCTCTAATTACAAGCCACGTGATTATTAATTATAATTACTAGCACCAAACTCATACCATATGGACGATTGACTATTTATTGTTGCATTCTAAAATTTCAGTCTCATTATCAAAAGCCTTTTTTAAATTCAAATTCAACTACCCCGCTCTCGTTATTCATCGAAACCTGTTGTTGGCTGCTAAACTATAACAACCGTCAAGTTCAAGGGATTTTCTTGTTGTTAATTTCTACCATTTTGTGTTCATCAAAAACCCACAACAACAAGTCACCAAACACATCTCTTTCTTGGAATAGGAGGTGAGGTTCTCTCATTCTCTTTTTTGGAATTGGAGGTTCTTTCTTTTCATGCTTTAATTAATTTTTATTTTCCGTTGACATGACAGGGTTTAGGCATCAATGGAAGAATTTATTCAAATGAATAAGGGATTAATGTGAAGGTTTGTTTTATCCATGTGCTGCTCAGTAAGTCCACCATGACCATTTATTTGTATAATCTGATTGAAAAGTTCCAAGGGTGATGTCCAAGTCTCATTATTGAGATTTGAATCAACATTTTAAAAGGGGAACCTTTCCACTTATATGGCTTGTTCTAATCCTTTTCTATGTCATTCTGATGTGATATGTTACCCCAGTATAGTGAGACATCAAAAGATGTTATGACGTATGTCAACTGGATAAAAGAGATCTCTGTTATTGAGTGTGAATGGTGAGCTCGCATAACTTTAATTGAAGCGTAATTATTGTTAAGTTAGTTACCACTTCTGTTTCAGTTAATGATTTAGTTTAGACTTTTTTGGAACAACTAGATTATTTAGGAGTTTTAGGGATGATTAGAGAGGGATGAGAGTTAGTTACAGAGGTAATTACGTTCTGTTAACTCTATTATGCTATTTCTGATTTTGTTAACAATTATTTTTCTGATGTGCTTCTTAGGTCACCTTAAGTCGAATTTGATCATGACTTGATGTATGATGCTTTTACACAGGTCTTAGACAGACTGCAAGTGAGCAGAACTGATCTGGTTTAGTTGCAGGTTGGTGATGTTTTAGTGCAGATGACTGAATGTTGCAGGACTTTGTTGCATTGTTTTGCATAATTGTTTAGACCATGAGCATCTTGATGATGAGTTGGTGGTGGGTTGAATTTGCATATGAAATTGTGACAGAATTTGATCATGTGTTGCTTATGTTTGAATTATGGATTATAGCATGACTTGAACATGTATTTGGACATGGTAGGTTGATGAAGGTTGAATGAATATCATGGCCTGTAGGGGCTTATGTTGATTCTGTTATGACTATTTAACAAATTCATGTGGCAATTATTTGGCTGCAGGTCTGAACCAGGAGTGTAGGATACAATGAAACAGAAACAAATATAAGCAGAAATTGTCTATATATAAATTATTTCTTGGGTATCGTGCATCTTGTCATCGGTGACCAAGTCCCTACTGATGGATTATTTGTTTCTAATATTTTCTTCTGATTGATGTTTAATGGGTGTAAATTTAATTAAAAAACGGGTGTAAATTAAACTTTTTGTACTAGTGTTGTGTTTTGTGTTTTATGTTTTATATTATCTATCTCTTAGAACTTTTGTTTTGAATTTGGGATGACTCTTTCTCTCAAGAGAAACTTGATTTTGTTTAGGAATGATAATATCAAAACTTATCTATATTTTTGTGATTTATTAGTCAGTAGCGTCACTTGATGTAGACTTACTTATTTCATAATGAATGTTTTGACGTTGTGGCTTAATATTTTCTTGTATAATTAGATTTTAAATTTTTTACTCAATATTTATAAAAATGTCATGGCATGAAGTACACCATCGTCACAATTATGCGGCACAAAAAGAAATTGTGGCCTACTCGAATGGTGTAAAATTGTGAGCAAAATTTAGCTGCAGTTTTAATTAGTGGCCTTAAAGAAAAGTCACAAGGAGGAAGTTATGAAGTCCAAAACTCTTAAGGCTTCTTGCTCTAAATACTCAAAAGAAGAGCAAAACAAGAATAGTGACTCTAGTGATGATGAGATCTCGGATGATGAAGAGATGAGACTATTTGCGAGGAAGTATAATTGATATGTTCAGAAAAATGGAGTTAAACATTCCGGCAATAATCTCATGAAGTTTAGAAGACAATCATCATCCCTCAAAGAAAAGAACAACAAAAAGGACAAAAGAAATGTTATTTGCTACGAATGTGGTAAGTCTGGTCACTATAAATCGGATTGTCCACCTCTCGTCAAAAAGAAAGGAAAAGATCAAAGAAATAAGCTTAGACAAACCTATGTTGCTTGGGAAAGCGATGAAAACTCAAGTGAGAGTGAAGAAGAGATAAATTATTGTTTCATGATAAATCATCAATAAGGCAAAAAAAATAATGTAAGTTCTAAATACTTTAACATTTCGTCTTTGTCTTATAATAAATTAAAAAGTGAATTTGAAAAACTATAATTAAAATTTTTGAATGCATTGATTGTTTAAACATCTTTATCTCTCCTGGTCGCATATTATCCTTATTCGACGATTTAAATAAACAGTGAAATTAATTCAAACGCTTCGTTTATAAAATTCCATTTTTTCGTAGATTAGTTGCAAGTGAAGATTATTTTAAGAAATAGGCCTCTCCGCCTTCCGGAATAAACGATATTATCATGAAAGACTCGACGGGGCCTCTATTTACCAGTTTTGGGCTTTGGATTTTGTAATCTCCTTGCCTTTTCCTTAGCAATTGTTTCTTTCTTTCTTAATATAATTTATAAATATAATTAATCTCTTCCTAAAGCATCAAGATCCAATTTAAATCATCCAGTAACAAAATGAAACATCATATTGAAAATGGGAAATATATTATTACAAATATAGCAAGAATGTAGTTGAGAAGAAAAAATAAGAAAAAATAGCACATCACCAAGAATGAAGAATTCAATGGTGTTGTAAATTGTAATGCAGTTCCTAATTAAAAGTGTCCAATTCACTAAATCAAAGCACTCAATATTCAAATAGGATAAATGTAAATTTTAAAATCAGAAGAATATAGAAAAAGAGAGAGTGGACATTGCAAAAATGAAAGTGAGGACAGAGGCATGAATGCTTGAGGCTCCTCCCTTTTTGCTATCAGAAGGACTTGGAACACCAGCTACTACACAAATTTGTTTTAAAAAAAAAAAACATCAAATGTTAAATTCATTCTAGTACAACAACATTGTTGATTGAAATATAGATATTAAAATTTTAATAAAAATTTGATTTTTTTTTCATTCGCATTGTTGAAAATTAATATAAAAAATAAAGAAAATTTACCTGAACTATCAGCTGAATTTGAAGGACTGGGAGCTGATCCTTTTGGTGTCATTGCCATATCTAAATTATTAATTTTTCAAACAAATTAAATTAAGTTACCACCAAATCAAGATATATTAAGATAAAACTGCTTAATAATTAGTTAACAAGAGTATTAAAGTGATAAAAAAAATTACTTGGTGGCATAGAATCTTGACTTGATGGGCCAGGCAAGGACACAGGAACTCCAGCAGCTGTGACATGATAATCATAAAGATAAAAATTTGTTAATTAGACTAATGTTTAAACATGTGATATCTGAGTTCAGTAACCACTAAATTATTTGGAAAGAAAAAGTTGATATAAAAGTCGCATATTTTCCTAGATCTACAAATTAAAGGTAATTGATTATAAAGTAAAACATAAAAAAGGCATTGAAATTTACCTGAGCAAGTACTAACAGGAGGAGTAGTAACACCACAAAGAGAAGGAAGCTTGAGAGCTTTATTAACATTAATCTTAATCCCAATAGAATCAGAGTTTCCTAAAAGCTGACACAAACAAATAGGGTTACTATCAACCAACCCTGCTAACTCAGGACAACAACCTTTGTCCGGCTTTCTCAATTTACTCCCATCTTCCACGAATGTTAAGCAATCCGACATATTTGTTAGAGCATTCAAGCATCCCTGGCCAGCAGCAGGCGATGGAGCTCCGACGGACTCCGGTACCGGAGATTCAGCCCTAGGAGTAGGAGCAGATACTCCATGATATGGTAGTGATGCAAAGAGTAAAGAAATTGCTAGTAGTACTAATGGTGTATTGGCCATTTTGGTTTTTCTGTGATGTGTTTTGAAAATGTTTGTTCAATAGGATAAGAGGTTAAATTGGGTTTTGTGTTATGAATATAGGTGTGGGGTAGTTGGAGTAAATAAATTCTCATAAATAGAGGGGCTTGACTTGGAAATTTTGGTTCTAACTTTTAGTTGCTGAATTTAATGAGTTTTACTAACAGCTATTAATAGTACTACCTAACTAATTCATTTTGCACCGTATATTTATCATTGGATCTAACTTCTATCCTCTTTGAATTAAAGATGGTGTATTTTTTTATATCCAAATCTGTGATTGAATTTATAAGCTACATTCAATGTAATGGTTGGTGTCTGAGTTATTATTTCAACAAATTTTATATTGAAAAAAAACTATATAAATAAAATAATTTTAAATAATTTTTTGGAAGATAATTTACAGAAAAATTTTCAACCAAACTGAGCCTTAAGTTGCTTTCTTTGAGTTTTAGATTCACATTTCTAGATAGCTGGCATTGTTGGCGTGAGTTAAGTTATGTTATTTTGAGATGGAATGATTAGGCGGAAAATAACATCACATTCACATGTTACTAAATAAAAATTGATTGGCAATTATGGATTTTTTTTTGTTTTGATATGTGAAAAGAGAAAATTAAACCAACTATTATGAAGAAAGTGACACCTACCTATTGCATTGGCTAGGATGAATGATCATGTTAAGTTATGTAATGAGCTTTAATTAATTTGTAGAGGTGGTTGTGCTGTATTTAGACTGTAGGGTGTTCATTTTCGATAGGGACGGTTTGACATTGCCAATTTGCCATTGTGTAAAATTTATTTTACAAATTTTAATTTGATTATCATTTTGGAAATTTGATATGTTGAAAAAATGATAGGGGAGCATTAGGTTTGGCTTCTAACCTATATTAACTTGTTGAAAGCTGTAAGTTGATGTTTTGGAGAAGGAGAAGAAAGCATTTATGATATTATAAACCTTTGTGGGACTCGAGTCATGTTTTGCCATTTTGTTAATGGACATCACATGTTCGATAGTTATTTTATTTTATGGGGGTTCGTATACCTTCCATACTTGTATCATATTTTCTACTGTACTCCGTATTTTTTATTATGAATACTTTTTAAACCCATTTGTGACTCAATGCATAAGCATATTTATGAGTGGTCAACGGCTATCAATTGTCTTTGAATCCATTCATCAACCGAAGCACCAAAATATCATTGTTGTACACATAAATTTTTAGTCTGGTTTAAAAACATAAACTTCAAACCAAAACCAGAAAATATGCCATGAAATTATTGTAGTGTAATCACCCTGGATTTAAAAGAGCTGTTTGCAATACATCTTCCAGATGCTTCTCAGCAGCAGCGTACTGCCTTTTTTTATCTTCAATTGCTAATGCAGCCAGAGCTTTATCCTGGATAGTTCAAACCCGCCAAAAATATCAGAATAAACGCAACAAAGTTCTTCTATTTTACTCCAGAACTAAAATGGAGAGGATGAGGAATAAAACATACCGGAGGCAAATCTTGATAGCTCCTAAGAGTATCAAGGATGGGCTTAGTTTTCTTTTCCAGCTCCTTCCTATGCTCAGCCATTTCAACCAAAACACTGTGGCTAATCTCTGGTGTATAGCCTGTATGGTTGAGCACCGCCTGCACCAAATGTTATTCAGCATTCAGGAGATCAAAATATAAAAAGTCACAATACAATGATAGTTTGTACATTGGATTTAGTCAGTTTATAATATGTTATCCGCCAAAGACTAGAAGAGTTAATACTTCCATGAGATTGTTCAACTGTGGATACCTCCGAGATTTCAGAAAAATCTCATTTGTGATAAAATTATTTTGGTTGGTTGCATTTAGACACTGTATAGGTAATTCTTAATAGTTGAATGACTGTAGAAATATATTTCTTTGCACGCAAAGTTGGTAATTAGAAGTAATGTAAATATTGATTGAATGTCTGCTTTTGTTTTCGATATGCCTGTTAGTAAAGAATCGCACTCGGTCAAGTTCAAATAGTACATACCATTTGAGAGAATACATTTTTTCGTTTTCAACATTTGATGATCTTGGTGGATTAGAGACATGGCTGAAAATTTCTATACGAAGCATTTTAAAGTCTTAGACTAGAAGTATACTTGAATTTGCCAATTTTAAAATAACTCAATCTTGAGTAAATGTAGGTTCAGAAGTTTCACTCAAAATCAACCTTACTTCTTGCAATCCCTCACTAAAAAAACAGGTCGTTATTTTCTAAAAATAATAATTAGATTACAATATAAGTACGTGACAGACAAAGCTGGCTGATTTGGGAGTGGGAAAACAGAGATTCATACAGCATTGTCAAATTTGATTTACGTTTTTATAGAATTGTTTCTATGAGAATGATACGCACCCTCACACAACTCAGCAATACAGCAGGAGAAAATACAGTAGCAGCAAAGAATCGGTAGCCATGTGAGCATGTAAGAAAGGTGAGTCTGCATGTTATGGGATTATTTTGCAACAGACTAATAACGAGGTTGATAGACTTAGTATTATGGGTAGTTATTTTTATCGATGTCATTTATGTGTGGAAGTTATGGGGTATGTCTGTGTTTCTGTTTTAGCAATACCAATCATCCCACTATCCGCTATAGCATTTTGAGGGATTGACGCGTCAGAGATTAACAACCTAGGTTTTACTCCTCTCAAAACAAACTTATTGCCATGAGTATTAAACTTGGAAAAATCCCAAAGCATGGAACCCAAAGAGGTGAGCCAACGGATACCCAAAAAGCCGCATGTGCTCGATGGTTTGACAAATACATTAGCAGTAAATGTAGATTGTTGCAGCAACCATGAAAAGTTTTTGCAAATGAATGGAGCTTCTAATTTGGTTCCCCCACCAGCAGTCACAAACATAGGAGCAATTTTTTTCTAATTTACATCCCAATTTCTTGGCTACCTCAAGATCCAAGAAATCATGTGTGCTTCCACCATCCAATAAAATGTGTGACATTTGTTTGTTGTGGGTTCCTATAAACCGCATAGTGAGTGAAAGTTGACAATCCCGGACATAGCATTGAGGGATAAGAGTGGGGTTACAGCTGCAATACTTCAAGCGCTGGTTTTCCGGGGTCGAGAATGGACAGGGATGGCTCTTCAATCGGATTCAGAATGTCATCTTCCATTTCCATGACAAAACCTGGGCCCATTTATGCTATGGCTGGTGACCCATACAAAAGGTTCATCATCACAGAAAATGTAAAGATCTTTAGCCCTGAGTTAGCCATTTCTGCAGCATTATAGGTTCTAGGGGGACGGTTTATCAAAGGTTTCCGGGAAGGCGTTTGGGTCGGTAAGGTAGTAAGAGTTGGTGTTATGGGTAAAAGTCAAATTTAGTGGGTGTAGGTTTGAGGGCTTCATGTAAACGAGCTAGGTTTGCAGCTTGGGGAATGGAGGTGGGATAAAACATGCAACGTGCATTTGCGTACTAGTGTCTAAGCCAGACGTAAAGATACTCAATGAGTGCTTGGGGACTGGAGTAACGATACCTAAGTCAAAGCAAGTTCAGAAGCATCAGCGTACTCTTGTACTGAGTTGGTTTGTTTGACTTGGAAAAGGTTGGCCAACATACCAACGCAGGGCGATGTAGACTAGATATTTAGACCATGGTGGGTAAACATCAAATTTATCAGGCATGCAATTGAGGTGCCACTGCAGAACAATGTTGTATAAGTGGATTGAGGCGAAACAGACCTTGGATTCATCAGGCATGCCTTCCAGGTAGAAAAATTGGGTGTATTTGTACAACCATTCTTTCAACTGTTTGTCGGAAGAACTGGGTGTATTTGCACAACCATTATTTCAACTGTTTGTCGTCGAAACGGGGAAATTCCAATTTGGAGATGCGAGTGCAGTACGAATTGTGACCATCAACATTCAGGCCGCTGGGTTGCCAGAACGGTTGTTTATGGATGAACCATCAGGTCGGGGACGAGCTGCTTGGTTGTGGATGAAGGCGCAAATTTCTTCCATGCTCAAATGCATCTATTCCATGCGAACGATGAGATCAGCACATCTACCATTGACCATTTTCTCTGGGTCAGCTAAGGTTTGATTGCATATCGTCATACTTGGGACTGCTACGGATTGAGATATGAATTGAATATTCGGGTGGTTAACCAAGAATAACCCCAACTCAACACAGGAAATTCAGATTTAGAATGAATTCTGTTAAGGTGAGTTGCTTTAACAGAATTTCAGAGGATTTAGGGAGAGAATTGATAGTTGAATTATTAGACTCTTTTTCATTTGGCCACCAGGCTCTATTTAACAAGCAAGTTTGTTACAAATGGGAATATTCTAACCGCCTCATCTTCTATAAATATGCTGCAAAATGCAACACGTGTCCACTAGGAAAATACAGAAAAATGCATAATAGGATATAAGAAAATGCAGGCTATGAAAATAACATGAAATAAAAATAATCTCATCTGGTTCTTGTAGCAGTATGATTAGTTGATTACTGTGACACCCTACCCAAGAAACATATGGACTTTTGTGTATAAAAGTAATATAGTATAATTAGCGTCGATTTTTTAAATGGGAGAGGTACAGGCTATCAAATTCCCTGTAAAAACTATAACTTTGGAAACAGTCAATTCTAAAACCGCCCACTTCAATTCTGTGTATTCTAATTCAGTGGAAATCTTTGTTTCCTCAGAATATAATCAATAACTACGTCTCTATTCAGTGGATTTTTAATTACAGATTGATCAAACATCCTTCTACACAATATTTCTAAATTCACACATGCCTTCCTCGATCCAAATTTATCCTATTTAATATTTATACATGACCTCCCCTCTAACTACTTTGCTTCTCTAATTGTTCCTAACTGAATACAGTTCTAGTTACATAATGGCTTCTCTGATTTTCCCTCATTCATTACTCTAACTACCTCCATGATATGAATTTGCAATTCAATATACAAATTGATGACATATTTACAAATCAGCAACTAAATCAATAAGCATATTAACAAATGTGTTATGCTTTCTCTTTTCATATAGTAATTCAGTTTGGAAAATGCATTATGTGACAAAAATTACAGCTAAAATACCCTTATCAAATTATATCACATCGCGGTGTATCTACCACAGTCTTGCAGTACAAGTTTGTGACAGAATCATAAAAAAGAAAAGCACAAAGTTTGCAAGTTGTTATATTTTGTTTGAGCTTTTTTGTTTCTTTTGTTCAAGTTACTTCTGTTTTTTCAATATTCAAATTCTATGCAACAAAACTAGTTTTATGAGTAGGGGACAACTCCCCTCTTCCCCACTGGCTGATGTTACTTTTCTACTGGTTGGCCTCTATTTCCGTCCGTTTTTTCTAACTCTATCTCTTGCATGCTAAGATAACCCAACAGCATTTTATCTAGCATCTAAAATCAAATACACTCACCTAATTTTCCTGTTACTCTCAAAACACATCTCAACTTAAAGAACCAAGTTCAATAGCACACCCTCCCCCTCAAAAAAACAAAACTGTGTACCTTATAGTTGGCAGATTGTTGCATGTACTGTCTTTCTTTTGCAGCCATAACTTGCAAGTTTGTGCTCCAATTTTCCATCTGAGCCTTACACATAGGTTGTTCCTCTTCCAATTGGAATTGTGTTCTGCACAAGCATTGTGTCAAACTAAACAAGTGAGGAAGAAAAGAACATTGTATGCCAAAAGCTCGGACATTTTGTCCCCCTTGAGCACATTACTGTAAATTTTCGGTAGACAAATTAAAACTTTCTAGTCTTATATGGACTTTCTAATTCGTCATAGTATTTTCACAAAAGTTTTCGTCATTTTAATTTGTTGATTCTAATATATAACTCTTCAAATTATTTAGCATCAGGTTATTTATCAAGCTAAAATATTTAGTTCTACCTTTTCAAATAAGTTAGCCTGGATAAAGCCTTTCTAGTATAATCGAGAAGAAACTTCGACTCTTTCTGCACTATAGCTCTTTTTTCCTCCACACCAGTCTTCCTCAGGGAAATATCACCCATTGCCACAAGAAAACTAAAAAAAAAAAAGTTCCAAAATTCAAAATTCAACACAGAAACTAAACAAACAAACAAAAACGGTGAGAGAGAATGAAACACGCCTACTAAGTTCAGTATCTCTGATATTCAACAAGTTAGAAACATTCGCGAGAACCTGCGCAGATGCAACCACACTGGACGGAAGACTCTCC